GGGAAAAACTGGGATCAGGCTCTACCAGAGCTCACAGGCAGGGGGGAACAGGGAACAGGGAAGGAAATCCCTCACACTCCATGAAAAGGAGGCCAGCAGGAGCCGCTGTAAACATCTGCTGAGCCAGAGCTGCTTCTGCACGGATCCTCCAGCCTCAGCCCCAGCAAAACACACGCAGTTCCCAAAGAGTCCGGAGCGCTTCTCTCTCCCTAAATCCCCGCTCCTGGATCTGCTGTGGATCCTGGCAAGGCGTGGGGAGCGTCCTGGGGTGCTCAGCAGGGCACACACAGCCCCGGAGCCTCATAGAGCATCTCCACCAGCAGCTCGGCGATGTCGGCGTCGCCGATGACGGGCCGGAAGAACAGATCCGTGATGAGGGCGGGGGGGATGGATTTCAAGGTGGAGGCGACCAGTAAAATGTGGGAAAAGCGTCCCTGGTCCTCGGGGTGCAGCGGCTGCAGGAGCTCCTGGAGGGCTTGCTGGGCCTCCCGCTGCAGGCTCTCGATGTAGAGGGAAGCCCTCAGGCCGGGGATGTCTGTGAGGGAGAGGAGGGGAAGGCGGTGATGAAGAAGGATGGAAAACAGCCCCGGGTTTCCCCTTTGTTCCCACCCTTCCCTGTTTCTTGTCTCACTGATGGGATGTACACAGCACTGCTGTTCCCCAGGGATGCTGTGTGAGGGAGGAAAAGCAGTTAACTGGGAAAATCAAGTAAAGGAACCTGGGGTTTGATGTCTGCAGGGCAGGCAAAGTCCTCTGGCTTTTAGCACTACATTTGACATCCCTCCACCCCGCTTCCCAGTGCATTTGGGAATGACCAGAATTAGGAAGAAGGTGACCAGCCCTCTCTGCTCTCCCACCTGCCCAGCTCTGAGCATCTCCAGGCCAAGAGGTCTATGTTTGCCCAGGGAGATGGTGGAGTCCCCATCCCTGGATGTGTTAAGGACTGGCTGGATGTGGCACTCAGTGCTCTGGTCTAGCTGACAGGGGGGTGCTCACAGGTTGGAGTCGATGATCTCGGAGGCCTTTTCCACCCTCAGTGACTCTGTGATTCTGTGTTCAGGTGCCAGCTCCGGCCGGCAGAGCCACGAGGGCCTGGCACTCACCTGGGTTGAAGAGGATGGCTCCCTTCAGGTAGGCGTATTCCTTGGGGCTCAGATCCAGGCTCCAGAAGGTGTTGAGGCAGCACTGCAGCCGCTGCACTGCGGCCAGCGTGGGCTGTGTCCTCTCAGGCTCCTGCCCTTTGCTTTGCCCGCTGAGGAGGATCTTCTTGAGCATGCTGGGGGCCGGCGCCTCCGTCACCTCGAAGGTCACCATCTCCTGCACCAGCCCCAGCAGGAAGAGGGGCACCCAGCAGCTGTCCAGCAGCAGGAGCTGGTCCTCCTTCGGCAGCAGGTGGAAGGAAGGCAGGTTTTTCATGAAGCTGATGGTTTTGACCAGCACGTCGGAGGCCGCCTGGCAGGTGACGTGGGGCGTGCGCAGCCGGACGGTGCGGCGCTGGTGGCACAGGCAGCGCTGCCGGGCCCGCCCGGGCTGCAGGTTCTGGCTGAGGAGGGTGTAGAGGATGGCAGTGTTCTTATCCTCGCCGTGGCACTGGCACCTCTCGCACTCCATGCCCGCAGCTGAGCCGGCTCCTCGGCGAAACTCCTTCCCGGTGGGAGACGGACGTAAAACCCCCTCCTAAAATCTCCGTCCTCCCAGCTCTGCCAGCCCTGGGGCTGCTCCAGCCAGCTCTTATAAGGCTGGGTCACCACTGAAACACCCCTCCACAGCCTTGACCGCCCTGATTAAGCCGCCCTCATTAAAAAAAAAAAAAAAAAAAAACACCACCCAACCAGCCCCGCTGTCCCTGGGCTGATTGGCCGGGGGCAAACGAGTTCCCAGCGCTGCGTCAACAGCCGTTTTCTCAATGAATCGCTGTCCCGGCGGGTTGGGCCTTATCAGGATTACCCAAACAGGATAAACAGGGTCATTACCCCAGGCTGTACCATGGCACCAAGGCCCCCGAGCTGCCAGGAGCTCTCAGACAAACACGGGGCGCCCGTCTGGGCCCCGGCGTTCAACGGCCCGGCCTTGGCAGGAGCAAACCTGGAAGTCGCGTTATCAGCGGCTGGTTCTGCCCGGCCTTGCTCGGGAGGCTCCTGGTGTGGTTGGGTGGGGGGAAGAGGAACCTGGTGAAGGGCTCAGGAAAGGGCCACAGGTGTTGCCTCTCAGGCTGGAGAAGGGCAAATGCTCCCATGGGCAGAATGAGAGAAAAGGGAAGCTGGGGGGTTTCGGGCTCTGCTCCCGGGGAACGAGGGACAGGAGGATTGGGAACGGCCTTAAGTTGTGCCAGGGGAGGTTCAGGTTGGATATTGGGGAAAATTTCTCCACGGAAGGGGTTATCCAGCCCTGGCACAGCTGCCCAGGGCAGTGGTGGAGTCCCCACTCCTGCAGGGATTTAAAAGCCATGTGGATGTGACACCTGGGGATGTGGGTTAGTGGTGGCCTTGGCAGCGCTGGGGGAATGCCTGGAATCAACTATTTCAGAGGGCTTTTCCAATTTTTATAATTCCACGATTTTCACCATGAATTACCGGCAGAAACAGGGGGGACCTTTGAGGGAGGAGGAGGAGGAGGAGGAGGGAGAAACTCCCCAGGGATCACGTTGGACCCCAGCCCTGGGGTGCCGCGGAGGGAAGGGGGGCGCACGGCGGGTGGCAGCGCCGGGGCCGCTTCCGTGACGGCAGAGGGTGCCGGAGAGTCCTGGTGCCCGGGGGGGGGAGGGGGGTCCCGGTGCCCGGTGGGGGTCCCAGCAAGGCCCAGGACCCCCGAAGGGCCGCGGGAACCCTCTCGGCCCGTCACCATAGCAACCGCGTCGAGCCTCGCGCCCCGCCTCCCCGAGGCAGATTGACAGCGCCCGCAACCAATCCTCGAAGAGCACCGCTCGGATTGACAGCCCATTCGACCAATCCGAAAAGAGAGCGGCGCGGCGGCGCGCTGTGATTGGCGGTTGGGCAGCATTTCCGCGGGCGCCGGTTGCGGTTCCGGCAGGGCCCGGTGTGGCGGCGGCGGCGGCGGCAGAGGCGGCGGGATGGGGCTGAGCGCCGAGGATGCGGCCGAGCAGGAGGATCGCTTCGACGGCATGCTGCTCGCCATGGCGCAGCAGCACCAGGGCGGCGTGCGCGAGGTAGCGCCGCCACCACACCGGGAGAGCTGAGGGGGGAGGAACGGGGCGGGGGGGCCGGCGCGGCCTTCCCGGATTCCGCCCCGGCACGTGGGGCGCGGGAGGCACGTGCGGTGCTGCGGGAGCGGAAATAACGGCCCCGGGCAGCCCCACCAGTTAATTAATTAACGGGGTGCTGACCCCCCTCACGGATCCCACCGGGATCACCCTGGCTGGGGGCTCCGGGATCCCGGGTGCTGCCCTGCAGCGGGGTTGGAGGGTGTGGGAGCCTCCCACTCACAAATAGTTTATAAAAACACCCACAGCACGGAATTCCTGGGAAATGAAGATCAGCCAGGAATATGTGTGTTCCTATATGGGTTTGGGGGTGCTGGTTGGTAACTGTTCACTAATCAGTGACCCCTGGCAGGCAGCTGGTGGTTATTGTGTAAAAATAAAGAGTTTGCACACTTCAAGGCGTGCAAAAGAAGCAAAATGAGGTGTGTATATATATATATATATATATACACATCCCTGCCCAAATTCCTGCCTCGGATAACAGTTTGGGGTGCGGGAACAGGACCTGAGGGTAAACTGCTGCCCTTTCTTCATGCAAACCACACAAATGCCTCTTCTGGAAGGTGGGAATCCAGGAGCTGGAAGTTTTCTCCAGGAAAACAGTCACAGGGCTGATTCCAGGATGGTTTTGGCACAGGCACGGATGGGGAGGACAAAGGATAAGGGCTGATCCAGAGACAGGGGGTGGCTTGGAGTGACCTGGTCTCACTGACCCTTTCCTTTTCCACCAGCTTGTGAACACCTTCTTCAGCTTCCTGAGGAGGAAGACAGATTTCTTCACTGGGGGAGAAGATGGAGTGGCAGAGAAGGTAAAAAACGAACCCTTGAGCTTTTAAACCCCTTAATTTACATCCCACTCGTGTCTGTGCCGGGCTGAGACTTCCCTGGATTTGGGTGCGCTCGGGGCACCAGCAGCTCGTGGTGTTGCTGGAATCCATCACAGCAGAGAGGAAATCCAGGAGCTGCCCCTCTCTGAGGTGAGGAACACACGATTGCCTGCTCAGATGGCACCAACAGTGCAGGTTTTTCTTGCCAGGCTCCGGCCAAAGGCTTGTTTGGAAAGCAAACCTGCCAGACACACTGACTTAACGGTGACACACCAGGGGTGCTGATAACCCCGGGTTACCTTGTTTGTTCACCTCAGGAAGAGCACAAAGTCCACGTCCCCTGCACAGGCAGCTGCACCTTTGGCTCAGGGCTGGATGGAGTGAGAGCATCACCTGTGCTGCCCTCACCCAGCTCCAAAGCTGAAGAATTAAGTTTTACCTCAGGGAAATATTTATTGAAGCGCAAAATGGCCAGGCTCCCTGAACATTCCCTTCTTATCCATACCAGTATAGCAGCTGTTCCTCCTCCTGGACTGCTGGAACTCCACCAGTTGGATGTGTTAGGGCAGCTTTTAGTTGCTTGCATGGGGTGTAACATCCTCTGTCCAGTCCCTGAGGTGGCAAAGCTGAGGCAGGTAAGAAAGATAAACCCCACTGTCACTTTACTTAGATTAGGGAGCAAATCTCCCCAAATTCCTGGGGGCTCTATGCTCCCAGGGAGTGAAACCCTGAGTGGCGTTTCAGAGGTGAGGACTGTCCTGGCCACTGTCCCTGTCACATCTGTGCCTGTAGAAGAAAAGGGTTCGTGTCCTGGGGGGGCACCTCTCAAAATGCTTCGTGGCCTCCTGAGGAACTGCTCTGCACCACAAAAAATGGCAGAAGCTGCTTCCCCAGTCCTGCTCACCCTTTGGCATGGAAGGGAAAGAGGACAGGGTCACTGTGTTTTTTTGGGTGCAGCCCTTGTGGTGTGGAGTGAGGGGGGTGTGGGTGACACCCACAGGCTCGGGCAGCGTAAACAGTTCCCTCACCGTGGATCATCGTGGGCTTGGGGACAGAGTCTGGGACACACACACACACATCTTGGATCCTGTATCCCAGGAGACACTGGACTTGCACTGTGTAAATAAATCCTGCTTTCCTCTCTAAAACAAAGCAGAAATACCCAGGGCTTGGTTACGAACTACAGGGCTTTTAGCTGTGAGTTGCTGGAGAAAAGCCCTGAACCCCCCCTGGAAGTTTCTGAAACATGTATAAATCAATTTTCCCCCTCTAATTCCATCCTCAGGCTCTGTCTGTACTGTTTTCTGGGGCAGCCTTCAAGCTCACATACGTGCTGCCCTGCACAGCAGCCCTGGCTTTATCGACGTGGGGCAATTGCTCTGGCTCCCTGCCTGTGTACTCAGCTTCCCCTCTGAGCACGTGGCCGTTGGCACCAGGGACCTTGAGATTTTGCCTCTCAGTAGTCACAACAACCTTTGGGGAGTTTGGAGGGAGGTTGAAAGAAAAGATTTATGCAGGAACTGGCCCCTCTAGTGTAAAACACGGGAGGTTTTCAAGCATTTCTCGTCTCAGTCGTGGCACTGAAGCTCCGTCTGGGGAAAAGCCCAGTCGTGGGAAAGGTCAGAAGCAGGTAAAAAAAGCTTGGATCCGATGTCCCTGTGCTTCCAGCTGGCCTGGATGTATGAAGTAGCTGTCAGGTGGCTGGGTTGGGCATCAGCTCATCCTGCTGGAGTAGCACAAAGGACAAAATACGTGGAGAATTTTTATTCCTGTGTTATCTCCGTGAAGATACACACCTTGTGTAGGGAAGAACTGTAGGAAGGGCTACATTTAAGTATTTAATAATTACTTAAATATGGGCTATTTTATATTTTTTTCCTCCCTTTTCTCTTACTTTTCTTCTGTATCTTTGCTCCTGTCTCTCAGCTGATCACAGATGCTTTCAACCACCACAACAAGCTGGCTCAGAAGGAGCGGAAGGAGAAGAAGGCCCGTCAGGAGGCCGAGCGGCGCGAGAAGGCTGAGCGTGCTGCCAAACTGGCCAAGGAAAAGCAGGAAGCCAGCGAGCCAAGGATTAAGGAACTCACAGATGAGGAAGCAGAGAGGCTGCAGCTTGAAATCAACCAGGTGAGAGTGTTGTCAGGGGTTTAAATGGGTTAAAGTTGCTCAGCCTTGTTCCTTTTTACAGTCGTGGCAGCATGAGGACAAAGGGAATCTTCCCCTTGGTAGTACCTTTTTCCTGTAATTTTTTTAAAGGCTGAAAAATTCCCTGTTTTCAAAGTCTTGGATGCAGTTCCCAAGTCCAAGCTTAAGAGGCTGAGGCCATCTAGTGCCTGGTCAGGAAGTGACAGCAAGTGCCAGCACTTGGCTGAGTGTTGTTTCCTTCTCTTTTGAAACAGAAGAAAGAGGCACAAGGACAGGTCAACAGTGTCCCAGTGAAACCCTCAGAGGATGAAGGTGAATCAGATTCTAACAAACAGGTAAAACTCACCTGGGGAATTTATTTTAGAAGCACAGAGTGGTTTGGGTTAGAAGGGACCTTTAGAGCTCATCCACTTCCACCCCCCTGCCATGGGCAGGGACACCTTCCACTAGACCAGTTTGCTGCAAGCCCTGCCCAGCCTGGCCTTAGGCTGAGAAATATATTTCTGGACAATCACGAGAACTCCTGTGAATGGGAGGGGATGTCCAGTCCAACTTTCTTTAAAAATACACTGAGTTCCCAAAGATTTCAACACAGTTTGGGGTTTTTTTGCCTTTTTTTTTTCTTGTAATCATGTTGTAACTGCAGCATCTATTAATTTTGGGGCTAAATTTATATGGCTATCAAATACAAACACCTGACCTGAAATTCTTATAAACCCCAAGAACTCTTGTTACAAGTGAAAGATAAATGGAAACTTGAAAAGCCTTTTTCTTTACACCTGAATTTCTCAGGGAACAGATGATGAAGAGGAAGACGAGAAGGACAAAGGAAAACTTAAACCCAACTCTGGCAATGGAGCTGACCTTCCAAATTATAGGTGGACACAGACTCTTTCAGAATTAGATGTAAGTCCTGCTTTATTACCAGGATCTGAGGACTCTGAGATAGGGAATAAGAGCAGGTGCTGGTCAGAGTGATGGAGCCGATTCCCTGTGTCTCAGCGTCCTGTAAAGTTTTTTAATTGTATTTAACAGCAGCATTTCAATGGCTGGGGGAGAG